ATGCTGGAGCTCACGCTTTGTCTGTGGAGGCGCGGCTCATATGGGAACGTTTGGCGCGGGATGCACCCGGCCTTCAGGCGGCTTGTGTGGGGGCCGTCGCGCAGGAAGCGCAGGCGTACGCAGTGTTCGCGGCGCAGAGGGCGGAGATTGTGGAGGCATTCAAGCCTCTTTGCGCTCCAGAGATGAGGGATTGCTTCTTACGCCCATTGTTGGCCACGATGGGGCTCGAAGATGAATACTTGGATGAGCGCTGGGGTGACGCAGGCGCTGGGCAGGGCATGTGCAAAGCTGATGTTATGTTTGGGGAATGCGCAGAAGGGCAGTTGTTCAGAAGGAGTGTGGTTGAGTATTGCGGGAGTAACAACTTGACGACGTTCCTCGAGAAAGTGTTGGACTCCATCAGCCGGGTTCCGGACGACTTCATCGGGGTAGTCGCCGGGCCTGCGTCCATCCTGAGCGAGCTGTTGCGACATGTACCTCGATTCGAGGCCCTGTCTTCGGTTGAGCCGTTCCCATATTTCCTGGATGGAGTGTTCCCGCACTACGTGCAAGCCATGCAGCAGGAAGATTTCTTCTTGAGTGATCTGGAGTTGTTAGCCGTGTGTCAGTGTGCAGGGCGGAATGTGGCGATTGCGCGGTACGATAACGCGCAGCAGACACTCACCCTGCATCGGTGGGCGTCGCCGGCAGGCATGGGCGGAGAATACACGTGGGTGGCCATTCACGCGCGGGACAACGTCGCCGCAGTGAGGAGTCACTTCGAACGGCTTCAGCGGGCGGAGCCAGCGAGCGAGTCTGGCGGAGCGGCTGCTGCGCGGCAGCTTGGGGTCGGTTCCGGCAGAACTGGCCACCCACCGCGTCCGCCGCATGCGGAGCAGCCGCAGCACGCAGTCGGCGCCGAGGGAGATGCAGCCGCTCGGGGAGAAGGAGCGGGCAGTGACGGGGCGCCGCCACCTCCGCCCCCGCCGCACCCAGAGCCGCGCCGCTCACGGAGGAGGACTGGATCCGAGCGCCTGCATGGATCTCTGCCAGAGCAGCCAGCGCCTGAGGTTCTCGGACCAGCTGTGGATCCGCAACAGCGCGCGGCTGGCAGGCAAGGGGCCGGCGCAGGCGGAAGGGCCGCCGCGGCTGGCCCGCAGTCGCAGTCTGTCGCTGAGAGGTCTCGGAAGCCGTGCGGCGGCCAGGAGCGCAACGACGGCAGCCTACCTGGAATGGGGGGCGCAGCGCCGTCGTCAGAGGCGCGCGGGTCGGATGAGGCGGCGTGGGAGGAGTGGCGGGGGCCAGACCTGTGCCACGTCGTGTGCCGTGCAGATTTCCAGAAGAAGTACGAGTTTCAGAAGTGGCTGGACGTCGCGGAGTCGCTGTCAGATGGTTGCGTCCGCGCGCGGCCAACTCTCTGCAGGGATGACGGTGATGTGTCGTCGGCGGCGAAGTCTGCAGGAGTGGCTTGTGCGTTCCGCGGCTGCAGTTGGCAGTGTGCCGACGGGAATGCCACGGCGGAGCAGGTGCGTCGCGCCGTGGAGCACCCGTGGGACGCGGCTTTGCGGGAGCACGTGGACGAAGCGCACGGGGCGGCCATAGAGGCGGTCGTGCAGTCAGTGTACCCAGGAGCCCGGGTGGACAGCGAGAGGATTTGGAGTCTGTATTGTGAAGCCATCGCTTGTCGCGAACGGACATCATTTCCTGCAGTGGGGCTGAGTGTGGATCGGCGCTGCATGGAGTACACTCTGCAGGTGTACAACGACACGTGCGTGCGCAGCCTGATCTGTTTCGCATGCGCCCGCATATGCTTAGACACAGGGAGCTTCTGGTCTGACATCGGGTACGTGAGTGGGCAGTGGTTGTTCGGTCTTCCTGCGAAAGCTCTGAAGCAGAACTTTTCGATGGAGCTGTTCCAGCAACGGTACTGCCAGTCTGGCACGCCGCTGGCGCCGCTTGGACCAGGCATGCGGTGCCCAGACTTCGGCGATTGGACCCTCGACATAGATCCCGAGGTGTTCGAGCGCGCCATCGCCGGCAACTTCGGAGACGCGCCTGGGAGGGGGCGCGGGGTGCTGGATTTGAGAGAGACGGCGCTCATTTGCTGCCCTGAAGATCACGAATGTTCGCGAGGGTGCCCAGCGAGGACGCGCGGCCGCCAGCGCGGGTCAGGAAACCTGCGGTCGACGGGCACAGCGCTGCGGCCGATGCTTCGGCGAAGTCTCGGTGGGGTGGGGCGGGGTGGGGTGGTGGCGATGGGAGTGGGGGCACAGCGGCCGCCTCCGCTTGGAGTGCGCGCGGGAGACGCATCGGGGGTGCATCGGCAACGAAGTGCCAGCTATCGACCGCAGTTGGGGCTTCCCGCGCTTTGGCGGTCGCATAGGAAGCGGCTTTGCTGGAGTTGCCGTGTCCCAGTGTGCAAGTCTTGCCGGCTGACGATGGAGCGGAACGAGGTGATCCCTATGGGTCTCGCGAATGACAATTGGTACGGGTACGTCGAGAAGTGGATACACGAGAAGAACGTCACGTGGATGGAGAAGACATGCGCGTCCCGATGCTGGACAGGGCTGATGCTTTTCTCGATAGATGTGCGCCAGGCGCAGAGGAGCAAGCGCCCGAAGCATTTGTTGCATGCCCCGCTGTTTCAGAACGAGGGGCGGGTTGCGTACAAAGGCCAGCTGTTCAGCGCCCCCATGGACTGGGCGAGCATGGTGGAGCAGATGCAGAAGCTGGAGGCGGGCGCCGTCCACATCTCGCTGCCTGTGACTGGGGAGGTGCTTGCGAACAGGGTGCGTGTCGTGGTAACGTCTGGCCTCGTGGACCTGAACGCTCTCTTGAGGGAAGCGACTGTTCGGAGAAACATCGTAGTTGAGCTTGTCGCCATGCACAAGAGCGCCAACCAGCCGGGGTACAATGTAGACATGGACCAGGTTCGGCAAGAGGCTCTGAAGTTGGCTTCGACAGATGCTCCAGTGGTGCCGAACGGGCTGACGGATGTCCTAGATCTTGCCGTGCCAGAAGACGCCCCCTTCCTCGGCGTGGACAAGGCCGCGACACCAGCGGAACGCAACAGCACCGTTGGCGACTTGGGGCGGGAGCTTGATCGAGGGAGGCCCATGCTGTTGATGCCGCAGCGAGATTCGGACGTCGGGAGGAACGTGGAAGCGAGCAGGGAAGAGGCGTTTGCGCAGTTTCTGAGTTGAATTTGCGCACGGGCTCGAACCTGCTCGATCAGTTTCGGACGGAGTACATCCCGCAGGTATTCAACATCACGTTGCCGTGGTGCGTGGGCGGCCCAGATTTTCCGCAGCAGGACCGCTGGCGACGTAAGACTGAGTTCGGGGCTCCGCCAGTGTCCTTGCACGCTTTCGACGCCATGATGGCATCGCGGTGCGATTGCCAGATACGGCAGGATTGGGACTTCAGTCCGGGTCTGCGGAGTTTGTCGTTCGTCACGAAAGTGAACCTCGGAGTGTCGATGTCCATTTCACGGGCTTTGCGCAAGGGCGGCGCGAACGACGTGCCCGACCAGCAGATCGGGGCAGCTGTGCAGCGCGTGTACAAATTGCTGCATACAGGACCCGAGAGCAAATCCTTGGGCGCAGGGAGAGGTGGATGGGGGGTGGGAGCCGGGCGGGGGGGGGGGGCTGATAAAATTGGACGAGCCCTGCAGGAGAGTATGAAACAAGTAGTGGGCAGCGGAAGAAGGTGGCCGGCGACGTGTCTAAGATCGATCGGATCATCGGCCTCACGGCGGAGGAGAAGGCGCTGCTGCGGAACTACAGGTTCATGTCGAGCCGGTTGGCAGGGACGAGGCAGATAAGGAGCAGCATACGCCACATCGTATTCAGCAGCCGCATATTTTACGGCGTGCCTGTGTTCATTACGTTCACACCAAGCGAGCGCCATTCGGGTCTGGCACTGCACTTGTACCGTGGGCGCCGCGCCGACCCTGTTTTCGCTGCCGAGTGGGAGGACGTCCGAAAATGCTTGGGGGCGAAGCATCCGAGTTTGTGCCCTGGCGGAGGCCCGGACGGCGGGGAGGACCTGGTGGCGGTGGAGCTGCCCGAGTACGACGTGCGGCGCGGCATCACCGCTCGCGATCCGTTGTGCTGCGTGCGGGCCTTCCAAGTCATGACTCGCGTCGTGCTCCCAAGCTTGTGCGGGTTCCGCATGTGTGCGAATTGCCCGCACTGCGCATCGACGGGCAGTCCATGCATGGATGTGTTCGGGAGCAACGAGACGCCGATGGGGGGCGCGGCAGGGCGAGCTGATGCCATGGTGGGCGCAGTGGAAGCGCAGAAAGCGGAAGGTGTGCTGCACGTGCACGCTTTTCTGTATCCATCTGGCTGCGGCACAACCCGCCGCCGCGAGGTCGCGGCGCCCACTGAATCATATGGGAACTTCTCGTGTGGTGGCGTCGAATAGGTTTTGTATTGGAGTGTCCCCTGGTTGCCCGGCCGGTGTTGGGGGGCATTGTCGTGGTCAAATCGGCAGTGCCGCCCGAGGGGCCTGCACGTCGAGACATTGTGAACGCGCTGAGGTGGTCCAGCCCGTTACGCCTGAGACATCGTCACAAGTCTGTGTTCTCAGACGACCAGATTTGAGATGGTCCAGCCCAATTCGCCTGAGACATCCTCGCATCTCTGGGTGCCCAGCGCTACGCGAGAGGTGGTGGGGCCCATTTCACCTGAAATGTCCTCGAACCTGTTGGGTTTGGAGATGCCGTGTCCTGAGGTGGCTTCGCCCGCTCCGCATGACATATTCTTGCCACTTTCGGTTTGGAGATGCCTGCCGCGAGGTGACCCAGCCAGTTTCGCTTGAGACATTCCTGCAACTCTGCGCATAGAGATGCCGCGTGCTACGGGGTCGAGCCAGTGTCGCATGAGACGTTCCCGGGATTCCGAGTAGCCGCTGAGGGGACATGCCAAGAGGAGGAGGAGGAGGAGAAGGAGGAGGAGGAGGAGGAGGAGGAGGCCGAGGTTGAAGCGTCCATGGCTGGAGCATGCGCGCAATGCGCGATGGCGGACTTGCAGATGGTTGGCCAGTTCTCTACTCTGTCGGATCTGGGGCGCATGCTCCGGGAGAAGCTCATATCCGCGGACGCTTTCAAGGAGTTCGTCAGCTACAGTCGCTGCGCGTCGTACCCGTCGGTGGAGCAGTTCGAAGCTGAGAGGGAGGATGTGGAAGCTGCTTGGCCAGCGTTTGCGGGAGACATGGCATTGAGTCGTCTGCCAGCGTTTTTTTGGAAGGCTCGAGGTGCGGATGCTGGCGCTGCAGAGTGGGCAGACGAGTACGAGAAGCGATTGCAGCACTGCCTGTCCCGCATGAACCATCACGTGCACCCCAAGTGCGAGCGGACGGGTGAGAGGCGGCCGCTGCGGTCGTGTATGCCTAAAGGTAAGAGCGGGTGCAAGGCCGATTTTCCGCTGGAGAACCAGATGTGCAGGCAGCCGGTGCTTGTGTGTCGCTGCGTGGCCGTTTCCCGATGCATGCCAATGACAGGGCCGCGGAGCGCTTTAGGGACAGTGTTGTCTGCCCGGAATAGTGAATGGTTGAACGCGGGCCCACGAGCGCTCATTGCATTTGCTGGGAGCAACGCCGATGTGAAGTTCCCGCATCGCTTGCCTGTTCTCCCCGAGTCCCACGAGGTATTGGTGTTCGACGAGAGGAGACACACATGCTACGGGGGGGGGGGACCTGGCAGCCCAGGCGAACGATCTGCAAGCGGCCATGGCGTTGGCGGCAGGCTACTTTGGCGGGTACTCGTCGAAGATGCAGGACATTGGGCAGAAGGAGATTCAGAGGCTGAGCGCGACGTTGGAGAGAAAGGTGGCTTCCGATGGAGCCCGCTCAACGAACCGAACGGCGGCGCAGGAGTTCCAGCACTATTCTCGGCGCCTCGTCCGGGATTTGGAGTGCAAGGGCATTGTGCGAACTTCTCTGGAGTCCTGCCTGTTGTCGCTGCACGCGGACCACCCAGACGCGCTGATGGCGGAGTGCATTCGGACGTTCCCCACGGTGCGGTTTCCAGCCGTGGACCTGCTGAAGCGCGAGGAGATCGAAACGGGGAAAGTAGTAGGCAGAGCAGTCGCGTCGGGCATGCGGCCGGGAGGGGGGAACTTGAACTTCATGTACACGGAGGCTCCGTTTGCGCTAATGTACGGGTTTCGGGGCACGTCTCACAATGTGGATGTATTGAGCCCGTGCGAGATGTTATTGCACTGGTCCATGGAAAAGATCCACCCCCCTCTGGGCCAGCAAGAGGTGTATCGAGCAGTGATGACAGATGCGGGGCGTCGGTTTGCGAAAGAGTGCCGGGACGGAGGGATCCGGTGCAACTACAAGAGCGGGGACCACTTCGTGGCGGTGGAGGCGCCCGGGAGGATCTTGCTGCCAGATGTCCCAGAGCTGCGGGGGCTTCGGCACGCGTGGTGTTGGGAGCGGAGGCACCGTCTGCACCTGCCCACGTGGACGTTTGCCCCGACGCCTGGCACTTCGCTCTCGCAGGAGGAGAACGCGCGTCGGCTGAGCGTGTACATGCGCCCGTGGTGCTTGACAGAAGTGGACGCGAAATGGTGGAACCCAATACTGTCTGATCTTGGGAAGTGCATCGCCGTCGACGGGGAGGACGTCCCGGCGTGGCTGGACATGCTGAACAGGCAAGGAAGTACGGAGGCAGCAGAGACGCCACGGGGAGAGTGCACGGGGTCGGATGTTGCAGTGAAACGTCGCCGGTTTACAACGAAGGGGCCCCCTGCGGAGGTCGTGGAGTCGGAGACGTACTATTCGTATCGATCCTCGTGGGAGAAGTACTTGGACGGGTACGTCGTGTCGAAGACGAGCCAGCGGTACATCGTGAACTTGTTGGCCGCAGCGTGCACAGTCGCCAGGGAGGAGCACATCGACTCGTCTGACGGGAGTTCCGAGGAGTCGTGGAAGAACGAGGACACGCGGGCAGGGTCGATGGATGTTGTGCACAAGGCGCTGAATGGGATGGCGCGGTTGGATGCGACCGAACAGTCGACGGGTTTCGGCCGCCACGCAGACATCATCAACATGGGCCGGGCGCTCTGGCAGACGCCACCTCTGGGAGAACGCGTCGCGCAGCGCATCGTGGAGGTGGAGTTTGACAGCCGCGGGTATCCTGCTAGCGAAGAGCTGCGGAAGGCGTTCGCGAAGAAGAAGAGCATGGTGGAAGACAGACCAGCTCCGTACCGCGGAGTGACGATGCCGTTCGCGAGTCTGTCCGTCGTGGACTACGGGCGCAGGATGGACGAGTGGCTCGCGCAGCTGCAGAGGGAGGGCATGGCGCCGGAGCCAGAGGACGTAGCCGTCATCGAGGAGGTCATGCGGCGGGTGCGGGTGGAGTTTGAACTCGAGAAAGAAGGGTGCGAGTTGCCGAAGGGGCACGCCGATCGGGAAGCTCGAGAGGAACCCGTTCGCGGTTTTGTTCACGGGGGGCCAGGGACGGGGAAGAGCCGACTCATACACTGGATCACCAGAATGTTCAGGGAGGCGTTGCACTGGGAGCACGGCGTGCAGTTCCTCTGCGTTGCGTTCCAGAACAGAGTGGCACACGCGATGAACGGTGTGACGATTCATTCTGGCGGCGACGTTGCAGTGGGGGGCGGTGACAGGAGTTTGTCTCACACTGACGTGGACGTTCTCTTTGCTCGAAACCAGGCTGTACGGTGGTTGCTGATAGATGAGGTAGGCATGGTGGCGGACACTCTGCTGGGCGCGTTGGACAAGCACCTGTCGGACGCGGCGCAGGTGAACCGGTATCGCAGGCGTTCGGACAAGACCTACAGGCCATTCGGCGGGTACAACGTTCTTGCCTTTGGGGACTTCTACCAAATCCCGCCGATCCCTGCTTCTGCCGCAGTGTTCTTGCCGCCGAAGGATGGGAAGACATCGCAGGAAAAAGCAGCTCTGGAGTTGTTCTGGAGCAGCGATCCGCGCGTCGGTCTGACGCACTTCTGGGAGCTGGTCGTTCAGAGGAGAGTGACGGCGGATCCGTGGTACAATTCGGTGTTGCAAGAGGCGCGGGAGGGGCGCATGTCAGAGGAGTCGTATCATTTCCTGATGGGCATGCCGACGGCGCACGCGGGGTGCTGGCCGTTTGCGGCCGGATGCACGTGCCAGGAAGGCAGGTGCAAGACGCTGGACGCGGTGTGGGCGGACATGAAGCTTCGCGGGGCGACCTGGCAAGCCATGCGGGAGCTGGAGTGCGCAGAGTGCCAGTCTGAGCGTGAGAGGAGGATCCGGCTCGTGCTGCCGGAGGACCAGCGCGTAGTGCAGGAGCCCTTCGTGTCAGCACCGTACATGCACAAGAACAACGACCCGAAGTACCACGCTATGCTGCTGAGGGCGGCAGAGTTCGCGAAGGCCCACGAGCTGCATACCCTATGGTTCACCGCTCAGGATAAGCCGGACAACCCAGCGCAGATTGCGAAGACACCGGGGAAGCTCAAGCAGGGTCTGGAGAAGTTGCTCATGCTCCACGATCAGAAAACGGCGGGGATTCCAGGCGTTAACATTCTGTATGTGGGTATGAAGGGCCGGACGACCGAAAAAGTGTGCAAGGCGAAGGACATTGTGATTCTCAAGCACATGTCTTGCGAGTTGGTCGGGTGGGAGCTCCACCCCGCCGATCGCGTTCGAGTGGCGGGGTCGGAGAGGTTCCTGAATTACTTGCCCCGTTGCCTGTACCTCCGCGTGGACGGCGCGACATGGAACGTGGATCCGAAGTTGGGCCCTGGCGTATTTCCTCTGCACCCTGTGCAACGGACGTGGGAATTATGTAGAGAGCCTCGTCGGCAGCTCCGTCGGATAGTCGAGTCGTCGTCGGGAGAGGGAGTGGAGAAGGAGAAGGGCGCGAAGGGAAAGCGGGAGAGAAGGACAATGTGTAGGGGGGCAGAGGAGGCGGGTAGAAGTGACGACAGGGGGGGATGGAGGGTGGACAGCGAGAGGGTCGGAGGGTGCGCAGTGGCCGACGGAGCGCCGAGCCGGCGCGTGCGGAAATTCAGCGTCGGGGGCGAAGATACGGCGCGCGGGTTTCACGTGGATCCCGGACTTCGCCAGCACGGCGTTCATGATGCAGGGGGCGACCTTGGCGGCCGGGCTCGCCGACTGTGGAGACGTCCTGGATCTGGTCGGCTCCTCCGAGGCGATGACCGCGTACGTTATTCTCTCGCGGCTGACGTCGGCAGAGGGTTTGCTATTGCTGCGCGCTTTCGCACCTGAGCTTTTCCGACAAGGCGCCGCGGCGGGGCCCCGCTGCTTGTTGAAGTTGCTGCGCGCGCGGCATGGGCCAGACGCAGCGACTGCAGGAGGGCCTGCAGGAGAGGCACAGGAGTACGGCAGAGCTGAGGCGACGGAGGAGTATGCCACGATGGTGGCTGCGCAGGAGGCTGGCAGGGAGCGGAGGAAGCAACGAGGTCCAACGTGGGCTTGCTGGTGCTGTCGCCTGGCGTTTCCAGCGGAGGGTTTCGGAGCAAAGCCGCGGCATCGGGGAGACGTCGGGGAGAAGTGTCTGGGTTCGGGGCATTGGCGCGAGTGCAAGGCGTGCGCGGACGCGTTGTGTGGCGAACGGGCAAAGGATGCGGCGGCGACCTTCCTGCAGAAACAGTGCATTTCGTGTCAGCATCTACAGATTATAGCGCTGTTCGAGGAAGGGAGTGACGAGTGCAACGCGTGCGTGCTTGCCGGCAGCTACGAGGTGTACGTCTGCGCCAAGTGCGGGGAGTACGTGTCAGGCGTGCACGCGTTCAGGATGCCAGGGGCAGAAGTGGCGCATTGTTGTTCCAAGTGTTGCAGAGACCAGTGCGTCTTCGAATGCACTGTGTGCGGCACGGAGAAGCCAGTGATCAGTTTCCGAGGCCAGCCTCGCCAAGTTCGCAGACAGGCCATCCGTCGGTGCGCGGAGTGCGAAGTGTGCGTCGTCTGCAAGGAAAGGGTCGAGGATTACAGGAAATTCGTCTGCAATGGGCGGGTGTGCGCGATGTGCGCACCTGTGAAGTGCGAGGTGTGCGAGAGGACGCTGGCGAAGGACAGCTTTCCGCGGTGCGGGCGGACGCAACAGAGGGGTGCTGAGCGGCATGTCCGGCGGTGCCTGGAATGCCACGAGTGTCCCGAGTGCAGGCAGGTGCTGGACAAGCAGTGCTTCTCGAAGGCCGAGAAGGTTTGCCGAGAGTGTAGCGCGCGTCTAACGTGCGAGGTGTGCGAGAGGATGCTGCCGAAGGGCTCCTTTCCGAATGGCGGGCGGCAGCGGCAGCGGGGAGCTGAACGGCCTGTGAGGAGGTGCTTGGAATGCCACAAGTGTTCAGAATGCAAGCAGGTCTTAGACAGGAAGTGCTTCACGAAGGCCGAGAAGGCGTGCATGCAGTGCGGCGCGGCAGCAGAGAAGTGCGAGGTGTGCGAGAGGATGCTGCCGAAGGTCTCCTTTCCGGATGGCGGGCGGCAGCGGCAGCGGGGAGCTGAACGGCCTGTGAGGAGGTGCTTGGAATGCCACAAGTGTTCAGAATGCGAGCAGGTCTTGGACAGGCAGTGCTTCACGAAGGCCGAGAAGGCGTGCATACAGTGCGGCGCGGCAGCAAAGAAGTGCGAGGTGTGCGAGAGGATGCTGCCGAAGGTCTCCTTTCCGGATGGCGGGCGGCAGCGGCAGCGGGGAGCTGAACGGCCTGTGAGGAGGTGCTTGGAATGCCACAAGTGTTCAGAATGCGAGCAGGTCTTAGACAGGCAGTGCTTCACGAAGGCCGAGAAGGCGTGCAGACAGTGCGGCGCGCTGGCGACTTGCCCGTCGTGTGGGGCGACGAAGAGCCCGACAGAGTTCGACGCGGAGGTGTTGCGGCATGCGCGGAGACACGGCCGGGGCGCAGTATGCCGAGCCTGCAAGAGCTCCACGGGGCCCGCTGCGCGGAAGAAGGTGAAAGCAATGTAACCGACCCGGACGCAGCGATTGCTGGAAGACGGAGGGTGCGACGTCGGGTCGGCGGAGCGCTGAGCCATTGAGGGGAAAGTAAAACGACATGTAGGGGTGTGATTTGACGGATCCAGAGCAAGGAGGGCTGGAAGAAAAAAACCGTCGCTGATGCTCTGGCGGTTGGCCATATTGTAGCATCGCTGGCGCTTGCTCGCGTGCTCGGGGGGGCATTTTGGGGGCCTCCTGGGGCCGCTTGGGGGCTTCTTGGGAGCTTCCTGAGAGCCTCTGGGGGGTCTCTTGGGGCCTCTTAGGGGCCTCTTGGGACCTCCTGGGGGCTTCTTGGGGCCGAGGGCTGGAAATGTTGTTTCGTGTTCCCCCTCTTGGGACGTTCTTGGGGCCCTCTTGGGCCGTCTTGGAGACCTCTTGGGCCGTCTTGGAGCCGTCTTGGGCCGTCTTGGGGCTCTCTTGGGGGCCTCTTAAGCCCTCTTGGGGCGATCTTGGAGTCGTCTTGGGCTGTCTTGGGGCTTCGGGAAGCGGAAAAGGTGGAAAAGCCAAAATATGTCCAAAACCTAAGGAAAAGCACTGAATTTTGCCTCTTGGGGCCCTCTTGGGAGTACGCTTGGAGACCTCTTGGAGCGTCTGGGGGCCATCTTGGGCGTCTTGGAGCGATCTTGTGGCATCTCGGACGCCTCGTGTACCATCTTGGGGACCTCTTGCGGGCCTCTTGGTTTTGTTTGGGTCCTCGGGGACGTTTTCGGAGCCCTGTTGGTGCGCTCGTGGAGCGCTCGGGGGGACCCGGCCGGGGACCCGGCCGGGGACCGGCCGGGACCTGGTCGGGGTACTTTTCGTCTGGGGACCCCCAGGGGCCGCCCCGCGCGCGCGAAGTAGAAACATTGTAGAGCAGTTACCGGAGATCTTAGCACGCCTCTGGCCCGTTGGGCCGGCGAATTTGCCAATGCGACGCGCAAAAATCTGCTTTCTCAAAATAAATGGTCAAATATCTTTCAAATTTTCGGAAAACCAACGAAAAGTCACCAATTTGTCCTTTCTGGCCGGGCGGTCCAACTGGGCGCCGGCGGTAAACCGTCAACCTTCCCTACCGCCGGGGGGCTCGTAGAGCTTCCTGAGCATCTATAATGTCGAAAAAAATTGCAGAGAACGAATAGTTTTTCAGCCTAAACGATTTCAGACCTCTCGATCCAACAGCCAAACGCCCCTCATGCTTCTGGATCGTTTTCTGTGCGCACGAGCTCCGTGGCTCTCCTACAGCCCGAGTTACGTGCGAAAATCGACAGCACCTCTCAAGATCACTCGAACAATACAAATAGTTTCGCGAATCTAGCCCGAGTATCAGACCGAGTTCAGACATCTGAATGCAACGGGCGGACGCGCCTGATGTCTTCGAATCGATTCCTGTGATTACCAGCCCTGCTGCCCCCTGATAGCCCGACTGAGGTGCAGAAAATCGACAGCACCTCTGAAGATGACTCGAACAATACGAATAGTTTCGCGGAGCTAGCTCGGGCAGCAGGCCGAGTTCAGGCCTCTGAATGCGACAGGTGGACGCGACTGATGTCTCCGAATCGATTCTAGTGATTACCAGCCCTGCGCCCCCCCCTTACAGCTCGAGTTAAGTGCAGAGAACAGACAGCACCTTTTAAGATGACTCGACGAATACGAATAGTTTTGCGAACCTAGCTCGGGCAGCACACCGAGTTCTGAGCTGGATTCGGCAGGCAGACGCGCCTGATGTCTTCGAATCGATTCCTGTGAGTACGAGCCCTGTAGCCCCCCCTACAGCCCGAGTTAACTGCAGAAAACTGACAGCACCTCTCGAGATGACTCCAACAATACAAATAGTTTCGCAAACCTAGCTCGGGCAACAGACCGAGTTCAGACCTCTAGACGGACAGACGAACGCGCCTGATGATTCGCAATCGATTGCTGTGAAAATGAGCTCTGTAGCTGCCCTACACCTCGAGTTAAGTACAAAATACCGACAACGCGTATCAAGATGACTCGAAACAGCCGATCCCGCCGCAATGCTTTTTTGCAGAAATATTTACCCGATCGAGCGAGATCAAGAGGGCGAGCGGGAATAAGATCGAATATGGTCAGAAAAAATACTAGAGCTCAAACGAATTGTTGAATTTCGAGAACAAAATTTTCAACCGACCAGAAGTCACCAAAAGGTCCGTCGAGATTTTTCTTGCTAACTAGCTCTCCAGCGCGCCGGAACTGGGAACCGGCGGTAAACCGTCAACCAGGTTACCGCCGGGCACCTCGTAGAGCTCTTTTCTTGCACAGCGCTCCTCGAAACACATCAAGAAAGCTTCTGAAGCGAGAGCCGAAAAACTCGAAAAAACATTATTTTTCGGTTTCCATCCAAAATCGGTTCCTGCAAGTCTTTCGATAGTAATACTGCAGCTACAGACTTGGAAATTTAACTGGCAGACGCGTCATAACCCACTATACGTCAGAAAAATATGGTTTCTCAAAATGAATTGTCAAATATCTTTCAAATCTCAGCAAAACCGACCCACAGTCACCACTTTGTCTCTTAAGGCCGGGTCGGCCAACTAGCTCCACCCCGCGCCAGAACTGGGAACCGGCGATAAATCGTCAACCAGGTTACCGCCGGGCACCTCGTAGAGCTCTCTTGTTGCACAGCGCTCCTCGGAACACATCAAGGAAGCTTCTGAAGCGAGAGCCGAAAAACTCGAAAAATCACGGTTTTTCGGTTTCCATCCAAAATCGTTTCCTGCAAATCTTTCGATAGTAATACTGCAGCTACTGACTTGAAAATTTAATTGGCAGACGCGGCATAACCCACTACATGTGAGAAAAATCTGGTTTCTCAAAAAGAATTATCAAATATCTTTCAAATCTTAGCAAAACCGACCCAAAGTCACCACTTTGTCTCTGAAGGCCGGGTCGGCCAACTAGCTCCACCCCGCGCCGGAATTCCTCTAGCTCGTCAATGGCGAAGAGCTCTACGAGGTATGACTCGAAACAGCTCATCCGGTCGCGATGTTTTTTTGAAGAAATATTTACCCAATCGATCTGGGATCAATATGGCGAGCAGGAATAAGATCGAATGGTCAGGAAAAATACTAGAGCTCAAACGAATTGTTGAATTTCGAGAACAAAATTTTCAACCGACCAAAAGTCAGCAAAAGGTCCGTCGAGGATTTTCTTGCCAACTAGCTCTCCAGCGCGCCGGAACTGGGAACCGACGGTAAACCGTCAACCAGGTTAGCGCCGGATACCTGGTAGAGCTCTTTCGTTCCATAGCGTTCATCGGACACATGAAGGAAGCTCCTAAAGCGCCAAGAAAATCAAAATCACGATTTTTCGGTTTACATTCAAAAGCAGTTCCTGCAAGTCTTTCGATAGTAATATTGCAGCTACAGACCTGAAAATTTAACTGGTAGACGCGGCATACACGTCAGAAAAATCGGGTTTCTTAAAAGGAATGGGCAAATATCTTTCAAACCTCAGCAAAACCGACCCAAAGTCACCACTTTGTCTGGTCGGCCAACTAGCTCCACCCCGCGCCGGAACGAGCCCCAGTGGAGCAGATTTTTTTCTTCTCCGTATGGGTTAGGCGTGCAAGATTTGTTTTAAATCATCTAAGCAGTGACTTGCCACCGGTCATTGTTCGTGTTTTGAAGTCATGCTCGTTTTCTTTCGCCTTCCCCCTTGCTCTACTCGTCCAGTTCTATTCTCAGATTCGGAGTTTGGCCTTCTTGCTGGCGATTACATCACATTTGTGCTCTATACAAGGAGGCGATGCATGATCCGAAAAACTATAGAGGAATTCATTCAACTTCACAATTGTTCAACTGTGCTGAACGCATTTCTCCTCTCTTTCCTCCTTGCTCGCGTCTTTCGGTCGCTTCTGTAGGAAGCTCTACGAGTCTCCTGGCGGTAACCAAGGTTCTCAAGATGACTCGAACAATAATAACAGTTTCGCGATTCTAGACCTAGCAGCAGACCGAGTTCAATTAAACAGACAAATGCGCATGATGATTCTGCATCAGTTTCTGTAAAAATCAGCTTGGTAACTGTCCTATAGCTGGAGTTGAGTACTGGGTAGCGTTCACTTCATAGCGTCTTAAACCCGGGGAGCAACTTGGTAGCGTCCAAAACCAGGAGAGCAAAGAGAGCACACACCGGAAAACTTGGTAGCGTCCAAAACCCGGAGAGCAAAGACACCCTGGGACACCCGAATTCTTTCCTGGGCAGCTCGGAGCGACTCGCTGCAGCGCTGCTGAAGCGCTGCCAGGAACGCTTCCAAGCGTGCCTGTATGCGTGCAGGCACGCGTGGAAGCTTGCCGGGAGCTCTCCCGGACTGGGCGCCGGCGGTAAACCGTCAACCTTGGTTACCGCCGGGAGACTCGTAGAGCTTCCTAACTCGACTCCAGTTGAGAAAACAGACAGCACTTACCAACAATCTGACTTATAGTGAATAGTTTTTGACCTCTGAATGCGACAAACGGACGCGTCTGATGTCTTCGAATCGACTTCTGTCATTACCAGCCCTGCAGCCCCCCTACAGCCCGAGTTGAGTGCAGAAAACCGACAGCATCTCTCAGGATGACTCGAACAATAGGACTAGTTTCGCTGACCTAGTTCGGGCAGCAGACAGAGTTCAGAGCTCTGTATTCGACAGGCGGGCGCGCCTGATGTCTTCAAATCGATTCCAGTGATTAACAGCCATGCAGCCCCCCCTACAGCCCGAGTTAAGTCCAGATAACCGACAGCATCTCGCAAGCGACTCGAACGATACGAATAGTTTTGCGATTCTAGATCGGGCAGCAGACCGAGTTCAGAGCTCTGGATTCGACAGACAAACGCAACTGATGATTCTGAATTGGTGCCTGTAAATATCAGCTCTATAGCTGTCCTACAGCTCGAGTTAAGTGCAGAAAACCGAGAGTTTCTGTCAAGATGACTCGAATAATACGAACAGGTTTGCGGACCTAGCTCGGCTAGCAGACCGAGTTCAGACCTCT